TTTAGATACTATAGGTACAATACATTTAATATTTTTGAATCTAAAACCATCGATGACCCACATTTTCTGTAATCTTAGCTACCTATGTCTATTATTTATTAATATGAATATTATGAATACATTTATATGTTCTGTATAAATATATATATATATGTTTATATGATGTAATTTATTTTAAATAAAAATAATAATACGGTTTTTGTATTTATTCAATTTCGATTATAATATTTATGATGTTTAGACTTCAGAGCTTATTATTTTTAGGCATGTAGATCTCATGCGTTCAATTTATTATACATATAGCTACTGTAGCGTGTATGTACTTATTTTATATACGTGGAATCCGTTTGAGGCATAGCGGTGTATACATGTACATATTATTATTATATAACATAATATTATGCTGTATATTGCAGCAGGGTGTCTGTTGTTGTATCGCACGAAGATTAGAAACACGCTTTGTACATAATATAACTGTGTAACTTCAATGTCAAATTGTCATACGCGATGCGCCCCCCGCCGTACACATGGGTAGGAGGTACAGGTATACCGTATATGTTATATTGTATGTGCCCGGCAGAAAAATCCATTAAAAAAAATAAAATATATATCAGTTTCTGTGTATAATTATTTCAACAATAGTTTTGTACAATTCGTATATGCCGCGATGGGTCGCATAGAAAGTTAATTATAAAATTCAAATGATTCGCAATAAAATGTATAATGGACCTATATCGTATATGGGTATAGGAGCTATACTGTATATACTATATACCTATTACTTATAAAACAATATTAGCTCAATATAAATCCGATATAATATGTGCATATTGGTTCAGTACAATACATCTATGCAGCCCTAAACTTATCAGTTATCACTAGGTACCTATATGTTATTCTATTCAGAAGTTTGTTCAGGTTTATAGGATTGCCAATCAATCTTTATTATAATAAGAGACCGCTACCCGCAGCTAGAAAATTTAATATTCATTATCTAATTATCAACCGTGAATTTGCTTCCGTTGAAATTGTAGGATACTACACAATATATAAGTAGAGGCATCTGCTCAAATCACGAAGCTCCTTTTAAATGTTAATAACTGGTACATATATAATATGAGGTATATATGTTATATTATATTGAGGACTAAATTAATGGCATGCGAATTTTATCGAAAAGCGAATGACATTTAATTGACCGTTTATTTATATTAATAAATATTTATTATTGCATCAAGTAAATTATAGTTAAGAGTAACCGTTTTCTGTAGATTACTTATACTTACATTACACAAAATTATTTTACTTTTAAAACTGCGCATCTTCTAAAACCGCAAAATCGATCATTTAAATATATAATAGGTAGATAGGTACATGGTGCATTATACCTAAACTAAATGATAAATAACCATAAGAATATGTGCTCCTAAAAAACCCAAACCGTGATTTTCCTCTTTTGTAAATGCGTGTGTTTTGAAGAATAATAAATTGATGACTGATGACTATATCCTATAAATAGAGCATTTTAAGAACACCCACAGTGCACATGCCAATATTTCACTGCACGAAATCCAATTGTTGTGTTACAATAATAAAAATATGTTATTAAAGGTACATTTATATTTAGGTATGGCACCTTACGGTCCTATTCCATCTCTTTATGAGTAGGCGTTATAAGAATAAATACGTAAAAAAAATACCATATTGTGGCTTTTCTCTTCATAATGTATAGGATAAATGACTACTGTACAAAATCGATTGTTATAATATAATAATAACGAGACAACTTAAATTGGTATTTGTATGGGTAGGTAATAGGTATAAAGGTAAATAATATTGATATTACTTCTTGATGCCTATATCAGCAAACACAAAAATATGTGCATTCGATGTATCAAACATTCGTGTGTTGTGCCTCCATAGCATATACAAAAAATAGAAAACATTTACTATGTTTTAAAAGCATAAGTACGCATTGCACACAAATAGGTATAATATTTATAGTTCATAGATCTACATATTATATTATATAATCAATCAAATGTATTTCAGTAAATAATATTTATATCTTTAAAAACTATTAAATATACTCAAATACAAGTCTTTTAGATTAGGTCAATCTACAGCGTGGTTGAATACTMACGAATATATTATTTTATCTTTGTTCATACAATAAATGAAATATTTTTGTAATTTTTAATAATATCGTACTATATCTTTAAGTGATAATAATATATGCGATATATACCAATACAATATTTCTTTTTAACCTCTCGTCTCGAACGTTTAATTTTTTTCTTCTCAAATTCCATACATTACTATAATATACATACTTAAATAGTCTGGACTCACTCATATTTATTAAATACGAACACTCGCAGACTCACCGTAATCCGTTTGAAGGATTGTAATACGCGCGCGCGCCCATTCATTGCCAGTTATAGCATTAGTCTATGTGCGTCGAAATTTGATCTTTTTGTGTGCTCGTTTAATGTACACACATACCAATAGCACGTACAACAACACATTATAGACAACGTACACATATAAACTCAAATATTTAAAATTTATCATCCGCAAACAACAAGTCAAACAAAATATATAGGTATTACGCTTTAAGCCTCTAACGCGGATCTTCGTCGAATATTATTATTTTTTCGTAAATTTGAAACCGCATAAATTATTCAATATTTATTTGATATGTTTTTAATATATGCGGCGTCTCTTTATTAAATATGTTAATAAAAAAAATAGTAAATAAATACATCCAATTGGTTTATCGTAATAAAATATCGTTTATTGTATTAATAATATTATTATATATAGGTATATATAGGTACCTATTATAACGACAACAATTAAATAAAAATAATATACAATAATAATATTGAGTATACACATAATAATAATAAAATTCATAGATAATTATTATATTACAATATAATATAATAACTGAGTATAGCCGAGTACATGATATAAAACTATTATTATTAATATTTTTTAACGATGCCGTTGGATATTGAACTTGCAAACGTTTAACATAATAATATTAATATTAATAATAATATTTTAATAATTATTCAACAAACATTTTGTACCTATTTCCTAAAACATGTAATATATTAAATTTAGGTAATAGGCTTACTGCATACCTATATTCTAGATAGTATATATTATATTATATAGTTGGCCTTACGCTACATAAATGAATAATTATTTTAAGGCACTTGTGACATGCTTGTTATTATAAATATCAATACGTAATAATATAACTATATTATATACTAATATAATATACATAGGAAACATATTCATATAAGCATCACGCAAAACCTATATCTTTGTATTTTATTATAAATATACCTATAACATATAATGCACCTAAATATACTCGCGTTTCGCGTATACGTATATATATATATAGGCCGATCTCGTGTGACTAGAACATAGACACATAACATATACAATATTTATATCATGTAAAGTGAAGAGGTGAAAAAAAATTCAAAACATGGATTTGAGAAATTTTAAAAATTTCTCTCGTCTGAAATTGTGGTGAATTATTTTTAAAATCTAAACGAAATAAACAGTAATATCAACATTAACATGTATTACACAATACATGGTACACAGATCATTATATTATACGTGTGAACGACGTAAATATAATATTATGTACCTAATGATAATAATATTATAGTTTTTTTTTTTTTTTTCGAGAAAGAGATCATAACTATAATATATAAAACGAAACGAAAATAAAATAGTGTACCTAGCACAGAAGTCAATCGCCGAAACGGCGTAATAATATTTTAATATTATGTACATGTGTGTGACACACTTTTAGGGTAACTTTGAAAAGAAAAATAATTTTTCTCTCTTACATCGCGTCTACTACTGCTGCTGCAGATGGTGGTGTCTGCTCATGGTAGCTTGCAGAAGGGCGCCGGCGGCCGCGGGGTGCATGACAGCCGTGGGCCTCTTGGGCGGCACTTGTAAGGTGGGCCTGAGCAGCTGACTGATCGAGTAACCGGTGGAGGTGGCGGGCGGTGACGGTGACGGCCGCTGCTGGTAAGCGCTGGTGGACGTCGCGACGGATGGCGGCCAGAAGTACTGGTGTAGGTAGTCGAAGCCGGCCGCAGCGGCCGCGGCGGACGGGTAATCGGCCACTCCGGGCCAGCCGGATGCGCTGGCTACTGGGTGGTGTGGCGGCCCTCCGCGGTGATGGTAGAAGGCGGCGGCCGCGGCTGCAGCTGCAGCGGCTGCGTGGTGATGATGGTGATGGTGATGGTGTGGTGACGGTGGCATGACCACGCCGTGAGGTGGCATGGGTGGTCGGTACGCGATGCGGTGCCGGGAAGATTGTGTGGACCGTCGCCGTAGCTTGCCGGTGGTGCCGCCGATGTACACATCGCTGCTGTTTGGGTCGATCATCCAATAGTTACCCTTACCCGGGTCGTCAAAGCTCCTAGGAATCTTGACGAAGCACTTGTTCAGCGAAAGATTGTGTCGTATACTGTTCTGCCATGCGGGAGTGTTCATCCGGTAGAACGGGAACTTGTTCATGATGTACTCATAAATGCCGCTGAGCGTGAGTCGCTTCTGAGGGCTTTCCGATATGGCCATCATGATCAGAGCGTTATAACTATAGTTGGGCTTTTTGTTTTTGTCGTCGACTGGCGGCGTAGTGGCCGTTTCATCCTTGTTCTTGCAAGCATCGTCCTGCTGCGGTGACTTGTCACCCTTTATTGGTAGGTCATCGTCATCATCCTCTTCCGGTTTAATTTCAATCGTGACCGGTGACGGGGGATGCGGGCGCCTGTTTTGGTGCTGGTGGTGATGGCCACCGCGGTGATGGTGGTGCATGTCACCGGGCGTCGCTGGCGGTGAAGGGCTGCCGCCCGGCCGCGTGCTGTAGTCGACCGGTGCGCAAAGACAGTCATCACCACTACAGTCGCTGGCCTCACTGCCGGTGGTGAACGATCGGGATGTCGACGGTCCGGGGCTCTTGCAATCCCGTTCGTCGTCCACATCCAGACGGCCCAATATGTGGTTGATGGTGAAACTAGGTCCGTTCAGCGATTTGGTCACCATTTTAAGGAGATGGGATTAAAAACACAAAATCACAAATAACTTGAACGAGTCGATAGAAAATATAAAACGATAATGACGAGCGACGGATAGTGTCATGTGCGCGCACGCGATCAGAGCCGCGGCGTCGAGCAAACGATACGGACCAAACGACGTTATAGTCTGGAAATAAAAATCGAGCGGTGCGGTACGATGCGATGTTTAGGGCGCGCGTGCAAACAAATCGTGCAGTGTCAGAAGACTGATCGTTGTCGACGATGTGGTCGCTGCCGTGCCGAAGCGCAGTCCCGACGACGGCGGCTGCGGCGGCAACGCCCGCCCGCCCCCGACCAATGGCAGCGGTGCCACGCCCAGCGTCGTCTACTGCGGTGGTGCATCGCTCGGCGCTGTCGTCGTCCGGACACCATTTGTCGCAGCTGCGCCCCCCTTTTCAGCGGTACGTATTGTATTATATCGCGTATTATTATATATTATTATTATTGTCATTGGTATTGTGTTTATTATTATTATTATTATTATTATCCCTTCTCCTTTTTTATATGTTTTCTATTTTTTTAACTGCCCGCCGGCCACCCTCTCACCCTGTACTTTGCACGCACACATATGCACGAAATATTAATATATTGACGAATGTTGTTATGCCAATATTGACACGGATATGTAGTGTCAGTGTGTGAGGCCCCCGCTCGTATTATAACGTAGACTCGGGGAGGGTTTATAATATAATGTGCGTATAAGTTTATGCACGCCGTCTCTATATACATATGCATATTACGCAACTGAAGAATATAATAACTGTATATGATATAGGTTTATGCGTGGTTATATAGAATCTTACCATATTTATGTATAATATCTTTTAATATTTTTTCCGCTGCGATCCTGTTTCGGTGGTTTATGTGACGAAAAAAAATCTGCAGAAAGGCGGATAACTATATATATAATCTTCTATTGTATCTGCATAGTTCAACGATAAAATCATATAGGTTCTCTGCAAGGAGTTATTACGTCGTCTTAATAATCATGTACACATAATAGGTACGTATTAACAAGTAAAACCCCTTAATTGTTCACCTGTATGTATATAGTATATAGCTATTATACCTATATAGCACATTGCAAATTTATAGTTGGGCACAATTTACTGATGCTAATTAGGATAAGATAATATAGATAATAAGATAATAATATAATATTATATATTATTATAATATCAACTTACTATAATTATGGGTACCCATAATATAAATATAAAATAAATATTATGATTCTATAAGTATAAATACACTAATATATTAGTTATATAAATTACATTTAAGCTTAAAATAACGTGTACAGTACATGTATATTAATCAAGACTCATCATCCGTTTTTTATTTTCATTTTATACAATTCTAGATCAAGTTGAGGTATTAAAAGTGTACAGCATATTTCTTAGTAATAATGTTCGTATATTATAATTTATATAATCATGTATCAACATGTATATACCTATAATATTATCTCACATGATATAAACTTGTTATTTTTGCACGCTTTTCAGTAAGCAATAAACAATATATATATATAATATGTGTTACTGTTAAACCAAATAACTCATCATTCATCATTGCTGTTTCGATACGCGCTACCGACAAATGCACATACCCGCGGCGGGTTGTGGTAAAGAAAAACAGCGCCATAAGCATATGACTCGCACGTGAACCATTACGCGTCCTTATATCTATATCTATATATATATTAATATATTGTGATAATATATACAACATTTGAACGTTCTGATTTTGTTTCGTCATAGAAACTGTCTCATCATACTGATAAATTTGTCACCGATATATTGTTTAATAAATATATAGGTATATAATGTATTAATGTTTATAGTGTAGAACGTAGATATAATATATAACCAAATTAATAATTATGCCATATTAATGTATAAACGAGTAGATATTAGGTAATATATTAATAATAATAACTATATTATAAATCAGTTGTATTCGCGCAAAAATAAGAGTTAAACAATTGATATACAATTATAAATATACTTACAATAATCCGATAAACTAAATTTAAATTCATGTGACAAACATTGAAGTAGTAAATATATCTTAAAAATTAAATTTTCAAATTTCAAATTGTTTGGTTTACGGAAGTCTTATAGCTTTATAGTAAGAGCGGGTGAGTGAGGGTATACCTATATATATTATATATTATTATCTAGAAAAGTATAAGATAAATATAATATGTAAAGCCAAAAAGCTAATATAATACGCGTTTATATATATTTAATAAGTTTAGTAAGAAGGTCACCTGCAGGTTACCTATTTATAAAATATTATTGTATAAAAAAATTGAAATGATCTAATTCTTGAAAAAAAAATACCTATCGCTCAATAAAATGTTACCTAGATATATGTATAAGTACCTATAACATTATTCATCTGAAATCATATTAAGTAGGTATATGTATACATACAATACAATATATATAAAAATATATATAGTTTGCTGTAGGATTATATATATAAACGGCTAATAAAATGTATCCGTGCGAATATAATCATAATATTCAATATACCTACGCCGTACACGCATAATATAGGTATTATAATTTTATCATATAAATGGCCTGTTGAACAATTTTTGATGTGTTAACGCATTTATTACATATTTTATTATTTTTATTTTTCCTTCATTTTTATATAGTGTCACACTAAATACGAAATTCGTTTGAATTCCCGATCGTATACAGAACATATATATATACATCGTATGTACACGTCATATATATTATTATATACAATGGCAACGCGCGCGCGTAATAAACCCTCGACCGCGGGCACGAGAACTGCACGTCGTAATGTCGTTTTATACATATATAACCGTAAACCATACATTTATATAATATATAGGTATGTAATAATGATACGGTCACATTGAGTGTAATACATGATAATATAATACGCGCACACCGCAGTGGCGGTATTTTTAAAACGAATAAAATAAAAGTATAAAAAATATATATATATATATATATATCTCACAAGCAGATGTTCGATGCAGTTTGCCGATAAATAATTCGGTGTCACTTTGCGTGTTAGGCGGCCCAAAGAACCGTATATTCAGGGTGTGTGTGTGTGTGTGTGTGTGTGTTGTCGTGTACACTACTATATACCTACTGCACACTGTGCGAGGTTAATATTCTGGAAAAAAGGAGAGAGAAAAAAAGTGTCTACAAAAACTTGAGGACAATGTGTAAACCCCGCACGATATACCGTATACGTCGTCGTCGGATTTGTCGGTGCAGTATGTACATAACTCGTTAAAGGAGATTTTTTTTTAATTTCATACAAGACTTCTTTATAATATAATATATAGTTATGGATATATGTGAAAATATATGTAACGCTTTCGCGGTTAAATTTTACGTTTGGAATTTTTATCGCCGCGTTTAAAATAATATCATACAATAGTATTATAATAGTTGTACAGTGTCATCACTATATATGACCATTGACCACTGTAACAATTATTCTTTTCATATATTTATAATATAAAGTATAGTATAGGTTATGGGTAATATTAAACGTCCAAGACGATCGTAAAACGTTTAAATCGCGCGTCTGAACTCCGATTTGAATGCATCTATACAACAATATAATACGATGGCCATCGATATATTTTACTATAAAATGTTGAACCGAATAATATTATTATATTATGTTAGCTGGTGCTGCACGCCTGCATCCGTATACGACCTATACCATACCTATACTATATATACAACTATGCAAATAACATTTATGAAAATAGGTACCTACCAAAAAATACTTATATATATTATATATTATTTAGGAATATACGTATATAATAGTCCGTATATAGATAGGTGCGCATTTATGTATCATGGTATAACTGTATCATGATACATAATATTATACTTTTTGTATAGTGAATGACAAATTATGTGTATTATTCGACGTAGCTATTATGTACTATCGATGTTTATCCGTTTTGCGAATAAAAAAGAACACAAATTATAAATCACGTAATTATTATTTGTAATATTATTATCTACGCATATTGTGACGATTGTTGACCTATGTATTGTATTACAATATTGTTTAGTATAGGTATATATATTCCTATAATATTATGTTATCGGTGCACTAAATAAATAGGGTTGTGTATGAGAATTAGCATACATAATATAAAATATGTATTACATCCTAGTCGTTAAAAACCGAYCAACTGTCAGCTATATTATATTAAGTAAATTTAAATATACGAGCGTATATTTATACGACGGCTGCAAACATGCGGATTCATTCATAAATATAGTAAGGTAATTTATGAACCTATATATAGTTATTTAAATCTCACAAGAAATGTATAAAATTTATTTTCTCAAGATTCGATATAAATCTCAATGATATACATATATTGACTATAAATCATAATAATAAGTAATATCATCCAAATAAACTTGTACATACTAAATAGGTACCTAAATTATAATTATATATATAAATATTATTATTTTTGTACTTTCTATAGTGCCGACGCCCGATGGACAAATTTATAATGCATCATTTATTATAATATACCTATTAGGTACCTACATTTTTTCGATCTCGCAAATCAATAATAATGGTTAGACGTGGACTCATTACAATACATAGTATATATAGGTACCAATAGGGTATACAATATATTGTATATAATATAAAATAAAAAAATATATATAAAAATAATAAAAAATATATAATATCATATTAATAAGTTATATCAATATAATTATTCTTATTATATGCAGTAAGTAGGAATATTATATATAGTTATGTGGAGACTACAGAATACCTTCGATAACGACAAAGGATTATTGACGAATTTATTATAATATATCATGTTTGCTGCAAATGATGAACAACGAAGTGCCTAAGCAAAACGGTCAAGTCTTTTTCATAGTAAATATTAAAAAATAATTTTCTTTTTTGTCAATTAAACATAATATCTCTTATTATTCTAAAATACACGGAGCGAAACATTTGTGATACATTGAGCTATATGTATATATTATACATATTAGTTGATTAAAATATGTTCACCATTTAACTGTGTGTATAATATTATACGATCGTATTGAATATTATACAAAATATTGTTATAATCATAACTTATTCAACTCTCTGTAGGTTTGTACAATCCTGTTTATAAATTATAATAATAACTAATAAGTAATATA